CTATGCCGGACATCAAGATTATAGCTAAGAACCTATGGAAAATGTACTAACAACTCAGAACAAAATTTTTATTATTTCTTTTTTTTTTTTTTAATTTATTTATTTGAGAAAGAGTGAGAGAGAGCGCCGGGTGTAAGGGCAGAGGGAGAGGGAGAGAAAGTCTTAAGCAAACTCCAAGCTGAGTGGAGAGCCTGACTTGGGACTCGAACCCATGACCCTGAGATCATGATCTAAGCTGAAGCCAAGAGTCTGGTGGCTCAACCAACTGCCCCGCTCAGGCACCCTTGTTATTTCTAAAAGCAGATAATCACATCTACAAGTTAAATACTAGAGGGGTTTTTTTTGTTTTGTTTTGTTTTCTTTTCTTTTTAAGTAGGTTCTAAGCTCAGCATGGAGTTCAGGGCTTGAACTCATAACCCTGAGGTCAAGACCTGAACTGAGATCAAGAATCAGATGCTTAACTGACTGAGCCACCTAGGCACCCCTAATACTAGAGTTTTAAAAAAATGTTTTTTATAACTTGGATTTTATACCAAATGGGACTATAATGGACCTCCTCAAGGTCTAGTTCTGTTACTAGAACCAGAATGGAAATGGAAATAAAATCAAAGAAATTTCCTGTTTAATTGCAGACAAACAGGGGTGTTTATTTATTAACTTTAATAATTAATCCACCAAGGCTAATGCCATGGAATAGAGAAGCTACTGACATACCTTTGTTATTCTTTGATTCCTTTCTCCATATTTTCACAACTATGAGTGTTTTGGACAACTCTTTCCTCCAACAGTTGTGTGCAAACAAGAGCTATGCTATCAAATAGCTCAAGAAATAGGCTTAGCATTTCTAAGGTAAAAGAATAATGAATATGAATTCCAGCAAAATGTTTTCAATTTGAATCTCAATTGACACTTTGCTAATTGTTCTTTCAGTGAAGGATTACCATGCCTCTCCCATTTTGTTTCTGATTTGAAATATAAAATTCTTCTGAAGCAGAGTAGACAACATGTCAATCCCAAAGATGCTAGAGTTCAGGTGCACTTTGTGGGTTGGAGGACTGGCAGAATACCACCACCAGAATCCTTCTGCCAGAGGAGCTAATCTGTTGAAAGTAAAACGAGCTTCTGTAGAGACAGATAAACACCTCACACTTGTTTTTAAACATGCAATTTATTATAAAACTGAAAACTGAGAAGAATGGTTATAGCAGCTGTTGTTTCAAACTTAGAAGCAGTGACAGTAATGAAAACATCATACCAATGTCTAGTCTAATAAAACTCTTGGTTTACTGTGTTTTGTGTGGGCAACCAAATAAAGTAAAAATAGGGAAAAAAGAGAAGATGCATCATGTTGACCTAAACACGCTGTAAATCTGTTGAACTGGGTGGCTC